TCTCTCTCTCTCTCTCTCTCTCTCTCTCTCTCTCTCTCTCTCTCTCTCTCTCTCTCTCTCTCTCTCTCTCTCTCAGCACAAAGCACCAGTCTCCGCCGTGAGCAGCACAACGGCAACAGCACGAACTGTTGCCGTTTCAAAGTAATGTTTGCATTAATCCGAAACGGCAACAGCCTTGGTGTTGCTTGGGCCTGGACCCAGCCCCCCCCATCGAGTTGCCCCGTGGCGGCACTGCGGCCTATACGGTCGTGGACCGCTAAAACAACCGAAAAACACCCGAAATGGCCCACGGTTTTTTTTTTTTTTTTTTTTTTTCCGTTATGCATACTTTTTGGCAACCAGCAACATCAGAAAAAAAACAAAAAAAATATGGGCGTGCAGGGTTTTTTGAACCCCACACGCCCATATTTTTTATTTATTTTTTTGCCCTAAAAAATGCGAAAAACAAATCCTGCACCAAACTCGGTCGTTCGGCCTTGGCCGAACCTGGCCGATTCGGCCGCCGGGCACGGCCGCGGCCGAGTTTTTGCCCCCGGACGTGACTGGCCATGCAATGTAGCCCTTAACATCTTTGTAAGGCAGTCTGCAGTGGTCATATAAGACGTTAGTGTGAACCTTGAGCAAGCCTCCAGTCTGTTTCCCGAACGAGACGATGGTACCGAGATGAAGAACGTCGGTTGCTCCCTCAGCATCCGGGAAGCAAGTGGGTCGCATGAAAACAGCTGGCCCAACACGCTTCCCCTCCACAATGAAGTCCAAAAACCATTGTGCATCCCTCGTTTGGAAATACGGAGGAGTAGATTGCTGAAGAGGTCGTCCCTCCCCGGGGGCAGACGCCCCAGCGCTTGTAGATGTGTTCTTCGCGGACACCATTTTACGCCTAACCCTAGACTAATACCCCCAACCGTAGACCAAAACGGATGACCAGAAGGAAAGCCACGAGGTTTTCCTAAGAGTATAGAAGCAAAGTGCGAACTAACTCGGAGTTGACGAAATGGAGGACCAAAACGACGTAAGAGATGGGTGTTTGAAATGCACACGAAGTCACATCAATTGGGTAAATGAGAGGAAAGAACAACACTCCTTTGGCAGAGTGAGTTCGGAGTAAAGATAACAACTCCTCGAAAAGAGTGCGAACCAACTCGCTGTCCTATAAACGAGGAAGAGGCAGTTTTGCTTCGGGAAAGTGCGAACTAACTCAGAGTTCTGGGAATGAAGACCTCTACAACAAGTACCACATGGGTATCGACAAGTGGGAACCAACTCGCAGTTCCGGAGACAAGACAAAACGACGTACGAGATGGGTGTTTGATATGCACACGAAGTCACAACAATTGGGTAAAGGAGAGGAAAGACAACACTCCTCTGCCAGTGTGAGTTCAGAGGAAAGATAACAACTCCTCCAACTTGCAGTTCCGGAAACGAGAAAGTCACGTTTAAGACAGAGGCGGCTTGTCTTGGGGAAAGTGCGAACTAACTCGGAGTTCTCCAAATGAAAACCTGAAACACGTTCGACATGGGTGTCTACAAGTGCGAACTAACTCCGAGTTCTGGATACGGAGGGCAACATCTCCTGTAGCACTGCAGGTCATAAAGTGCGAACTAACTCGCAGTTGTGTGAATAAAGAACGGACTTTCAAGAAAGAGGCGTCTTATCTTGGAAAAACTGCGAATTAACTCGCAGTTGTGGATCAGTTCCGACCTCGCTAGGATGTATGAAAAAAAACTGCAAGTTAATTTGGTCTTCTACAAGCGGCACGAACGAGTACATATATATATATATATATATATATATATAGGGTAACTGGCGTTCGGGATGGGCCGAACACCCGAACCCGAACGCCCGAACGTAGAGGACCCCTTAGGGATGCGTTCGGCCGTTCAGGCCGAACGCGGACAAAAAATAAGAATAAAAAAAATCTGAACAAAAGATATGTTATTGAGAAAAATAAATTAAACAAGATTTGCCTGACCATTACGTCCGAATTCCTTATCAAATTTGAAATAAAAATAAAATACACAGAATAAATACTAATAATAATAAAAAATACAAATAAAAAGATAATTAAATTTAGTGACTGCGTGAGCATGTTTTCGACACCGCCATCTTTGGCAATTTTTCATTTTTTTTTTTTGCATAGCTAAATTCCCTGAAAATTTACAGATGTGTACTTCACATAATACAAAACCCACTAAAAAAATTTCAAAAAATAATAAAATTGTTTAGACCCCGAACTAAAGTGAAAACATAACGTACAAAGTGAAAAAAAACGTGGGCGAGCACGTTTTGACACCACCATCTTTGGTGATTTTTAATTCCTATTTGGCTAAGCCGAATGACTTAAAAATTTATACGCATGTACCTCACGCCATAGACAACTCGTAAAAGAAAATTCAGAAAAAAAATAAAATTAAAGCCCCGAAATATTTTTTTGGCGGTTGTCGAACGCCGTCGGGTTCGGACCTTGTACGGGACCCCGAACGGCCGAATGTACGGAGGTCCGCCGAGGGGCCTCCGTACGTACGGGCTGGTAACCCTGTGTGTGTGTGTGTGTGTGTGTGTGTGTGTGTGGCGATATACATATGTGTCAGGTTGGCGGCCCCACAAGGGACAGGTGAACGAGAACCGGGAATTGATTCGGTGTTCAACAAAAACTGGGTATTGATTCGGGGTTCATCATCGGCACTGGCGACTATAAGCTGTGAAGGGAATCCAGCACCTTTATACAAACAATATCATGGCAGCTTTATAGCGTGCATGATATTGGTTTAGCTATTGCGAAAGGTAATCGAGCTACGAAGCGCGGATCGGCTATGGCAGACGGAGGTGGAGGGTGCAAAAAAGATATCAGAACACGTGCGGTGGCGATAGCGCGACCGGACTATTGGAGCTGAGAAACAACAAAACCGGGAATTGATTCGGGGTTCAACATGCGGCAACTGCGGCGTTATAGCGTGCAGGTAGAGACAGGGCATCTGGAAATCTGTTCGGACATCGGACACAGATTAGGACAACTTAAATAGCATGTAACCTTCGTCGTGCATTGCACGAACGACCAACGTCGGACAAATATGGATGTACGACGACCGAACCAGCTATGGTGGAGGGAAATCGAGCTACGAAGAGCGAAATAGCTATGGCGAATGGAAATCCAGCTATGAAGAGTGAATCGGGTATGGCGAATGAAAATCGAGCTACGAAGAGCGAACCGAACACCATGCGGCAACTGCGGCGTTGGCGGAAGGAGGTGGCGGAAGGAGCGAATCGAGCTAGGCGAAACCGGCTATGGCGGAAGGAGGTGGCGGGTGAAGACAAGATATCAAAACGCGCGCGGAAGCGATAGCGCGACTTAACGTGTGGAGCTGCCAAACAACAATAGCGATAAGACGAGGGCGACAACGCCTTTTATACTTTCCAGCAGCAGGCCTCGCGTCGGGATCAAGGAGGGGCCGTATCGATTCGCATATCGCACACCAGGGCCTATAAGATTCCAGGGCGTATAAGACGGCAGGGCCTATAAAACAGTAAGGGCAGGTTGGGCCTCGAAAGGTCAGAGGCTGTGTGTCCGAAATTGGATTTAACGCGGGTTTCGCGTTAAAAAATTCAACGCGTGTTGAATTCGCGTTCAATCCCCGTTTGAAGGCGCGTTGGACGGGGAAAAACGGATTCCGGAATGATTTTTTTACTAGGCCAAACATAATCGGAAAAAAAAAAAAAAAAAGGGGGGGTCGTAGATCTTCTTGAGGTCTACGACCCCATATTTTTATTTGTATTTTTTGAGCTTTTAATATAGTTTTAAAAAATCAAAAACATAAGCACAATGAAAAAATAAAAGCAAGAAATGACACGAGTCTTTTTTTTTTGGGGTTTCACAGAGATTTTTTAAGGGCTAAAAAAAGACAGAAAAAAACAATAAAAAATATAGGGTTGTAGATCTTTCAAAGATGTACAACAAAATATTTTTTTTTGTTTTTTTTTATAACATCGTGTATTTAAAAAAAAATCAAAACCATAACCAACATATTTTTTGGCCTGCATGGCTTAGGTAATCTTGCTGGGTAGACTCCCTGATTTGGCCTGCTTCGTTCACTGTTGTTGTAACCACCGCCATGAGATCATTTGTGATCTGATGGCTGGGAAGCACTCTGCCGTGATTTCCAGTTGGAGGTCTCTGTTTTTTGTTTTGTTTTTTTTGCCTTTCTCCTGTTTTCTCAGCCCATGAACTCGTAATGAACCTGTCAGGCCGCTGCCACTCAGTGTTRCACTGGATAGACCACACTCCAATCAGTCTGCTAATGGGACCATGCCCCTGGGGTGTGGTCCCATTAGCAGTCCGATAGAAGCGTGGCCGATCCAGTGTGACACTGAGTGGCAGCGGCCAGACAGGTTTATTACGGATTTATGGGCTGAGAAAACAGGAGAAAGGCCACAAAAAAAAAAACCGAAACAGAGACCTCCCACCGAAAGTCACCGCAGAGTGCTTCCCAGCCGGATTTGGGTCACTCAACTGCCACACAAACTCTTTTTTTTTTTTTTTTTTTGCCTGAGCTGGTGCTTGAGGTGCTGATAAGAGCAGACACCTGAGCAGGCGTGCTTACCCTTCCTTTCCCCAACCCCCACCCTTATCCTTTTCAGTTGCTAGTGGGACCATGCCCCTGGTGCTTGTCACTGCTGTCTGGTCGAAATTGCCCTCAATACTGGTAGGGTGATGGTCCTGAGTGCTGGTCACACTGAGGTCGGATAGTAGGGACAGGCGGTGTGCTGGGAGTATTAACGTGGGGATGGGTAGGGTAGGTGGCCTATCCCTGTTGCTAGCAGCAATCACCACGAGTCTGGTCCTTGGCCTCTAGAACACCTTGGGCTTTCAAAAAAAAAACAAAAAACAAAGAATGGATCTTCTGCTAGAACGTGGAATAATACACCGCCATAAGATTGTCTTTTGTGCATGTGGTGAGTAGAAGCCCTTAGGGCCATTGCACGTAATCCTAAAAAAAGAAAAACGAGAAAAAACAGACGAAAAATGAGAAAAGAAAAAAAAAACGGGAAAAAAAAAGAAAGAAGAGAAACAAAAAAAAAACGAGAAAACAGAGAATTCGTGACCCATAACTAATCTGCACAGACTGCACAGACTTGAATTTGAATCCAGACTATTTATTCTCGGGCGACAGAGACAGTCTCTAAGTCGCTGCTCCACGAAGGGTCCTTGCTAATCCGTTGTGACCCTTCGGAAATGAGACTGGATGACTACATTGCAGCATTTGTAAGAAAAAAAAAAAAAAAAAAAAGGAAATGCACCCACATGCAAACACATGTGCTCACAGTCTTGGGGTATGGGTTGGCAATTACTTTTTTTCCCTCCTGCTGTTTGAATTTCGGGAGGGAGGGGCATGTTTGGCCACCCCACCCTGTTAGCAGGGGTCAATTTTTTTTCCCCTTTTCCTTGTTGTTAGTGTTTGGGCTTACTTTTTTTCCCTCTTTTTGTTTGAATTTCGGGAGGGAGGGGCATGTTTGGCCACCCCACCCTGTTAGCAAAGGTCAAATTTTCTTTTTCTTTTTCTTGTATTTAGTGTTTGGGCGCGTAGGGCCACGTGTCCGAGGCCCAACGCGCCGGTTCCGTTTTTTTAAATTCAACGGAACACCCCCGTTTTACCGTTAAACGCGATTTAACGGGGACCCCAGGCCCGTTGAACGGGTTCAACGGCGTTGAATTTCGCCCGTTCTTCGTTCATAGGACACACAGGTCAGAGGTACCGAAAATTGTCGGTAATCGATCGACAATTTTCAATGGCGCAGATTAACGAAGCCACTGACATGCTAGAGGCCCTAAAATCGCCGCCGACACTTCCAGAAAACAAGGGACAGGCAAGGTCATGTTCGCTGTTGAAGTCTGTGTCGTCGATCGACACGATCCGACGTACAAAGTGGAGCTTCATTACCCCCCGGAGGTCAGGCACATAAATCCGGCGCGGCGGTTCGTTGCGCACCGAGGCCAGGCGACGGTCCATTGTGCGCAGAGGCGCGGCGTGTCGTTGCGCACCGAGGTCAACACTGGAAATCTATAAGTTCTGTTCTCGCAGTCAGTGGGACATTTCGCAAATGTCAACGTCGTTGGATATTGAAAGTCTGCAATCCATTCCAACGCTCGCCATGCGCCATTGCCATCGATGCGCTTAGCTCATCGCCATCGCGGCGCAAAGCTATATCCTCCATCGATGTGCTTAGCTCATCACCATCGTGGCGCTTAGCTCATCGCCTTCGCGCTCGCCTGACCATCGCAGCGCTGACAATCGCTATCGCTCGCATCGCAGCGTTGGCCATCGCTATCACTGCCATCGCAGCGCTGACCATTGTTATCCGTTCCATCGCCGTGCCATCTTTCTTATCGTTACGCCATCTCTCTCCATCGGTGCACCATCGCTCTCCATCCGTGTACCATCTTTGTCCATCTCTCTCCATCGGTGCACCATCGCTCTCCATCCGTGTGCCATTTTTGTCCATCTCTCTCCGTCGGTGTACCATCTCTCTTTATCAGTGCGCCATCGCTCTCCATCGCTGATTCGTTGGGCCATGTCCTGCGCCATCTCTCTCCATCAATGTGCCAACTATCTCCATCGCTGCACCATCTGTTTCCATCGCTGCGCCACCTTTCTCCATCATGGACTCTCTCCATCGCGAGCCATCCATCTTCATCGCCATCGTGGCGCTTAGCTCATCGCCATCTCGCTCGCCTGACCATCGCAGCGCTGACAATCGTTTTCGCTCCCATCGCAGCGCTGACCAACGCTATCATTGCCATCGCAGCGCTGCCCATTGTTATCCGTTCCATCGCTGCGCCATCTTTCTCATCGTTGCGCCATCTCTCTCCATCGGTGCGCCATCGCTCTCCATCTGTGTACCATCTTTGTTCATCTCTCTCCATCGGTGCGCCATCTCGCTCCATCACTGATTCGTTGGGCCATGTCATGCGCCATCTCTCTCCATCGCTGCACCATCTATCTCTATCGCTGCAGCATCTGTTTTCATCGCTGCACCATCTTTCTCCTTCACGAACCCTCAACTTCGTGCGCCATCCATCTCCATCGCTCCTGCGCGATCTCTTCTCCATCGCTGCACGATGTCTGTCCATCTTCGCGCCTTGTCTCTCCATCTTCGCGCCATCTCTCTCCATCGTCGCGCCATCTCCTTCCATCGCTGACTGATCACTCTCCATCTCTCTCCATCACTAAGTAATCTCTCTCCATCACTGAGTAATCTCTCTCCATCATTGGACTCCCTCCATCGCTGCGCCATCTATCTCCATCGCTCCTGCGCGATCCCTCCATCGCCATTGTATTGTTGTTTTAGTCCGCCGTCGGTGTAGCCGCCCATCATTGTGGAATCGCACGAAACAAGTGGCAGGTATGCCCAATGAATGTTTAACAAGATGGATTTCACTTTGATCAATACTTCTGCTTATTGAACTGAATACACATTTCGTAAAAAATGAACTTTTTGTCAAAAAGTAAACTTTTTCGACTGCGAATAAACACTCAGTACATGGCCCAATAGGGCATCATGCGACACTTGAAGTGAGGATAAATGGTCAGTATATGAGGTGTTGACATGGCAAATATTGCGGTGGGGCGTTTTGAGCCCTTCGTACATGAATAGTCGTTATCAAATACGAATTAACACCTCAGTGTAAAAAAGGGCAATGGCTGTTTTCCATAAAAGGTCAGGGGTCCGACGCTCGACACCTTGCAAGTTGATGGACTGAACCTGTCAACTGTGGTCGGGCGGAACACCCAGCCTGGTGCACGACATTTGGCAAGTTGCCCGTCAGTACCCCTGCAACAAATGTGTCCACCATTTATCTTCCCGGAAGGACCTCCTTCTCCGGTTGACAGATAGTAGTTGAGCACCGAATGATTCGGGAGTAGGTGGTGTTTGACAGAGCACGTTAAGGAAGTGGCAAACAGTCGTTCGCTCTCGATGTTGATTGCCAATAGCACTGTTAGGGGGCCTTGACGCTGGTTCCTAATCTGTTTGGCGATCGAGCAGCTTGAAGAAGTGTGAAAGGGTCATTGGTTGTCTGTGTGGATTGTCATTAGGGAATCTTGATGCGAGATCTGATTCCGGGTTGTTTGAGAGAGAGAGAGAGAGAGAGAGCTCCTTGCTTTAACCCGGAAAGGCATTGACAGAGCAGATATCGGTTTGGTGACTGAGCACCTTCAACAAGTGTCAAACATTCGTGGGGATGGCCACGCACTCTAAGGGAACCTTAATGCTGGGTGTGGATTTGCTTGCCTCAGGTTAGCAGTTGCTGGGCAGATATCGTGCACATGGCCACGCACTCTAAGGGAACCTTGATGCTGGGTATGAATTTGCTTGCCGCAAGTTAGCAGTTGTTGGGAAGATATCATGCGGATGGCCACGCACTCTAAGGGAACCTTGATGCAGGGTGTGGATTTGCTTGCCGCAGGTTAGCAGTTGCTAGGCAGTCTTGGATGCTGAAGTCCGCCACTGGGGGAAGGTTTGATGGTCTGTGGTGGGACTTCCTGTTGGATTTGGATCTATTTCGAGCAGAGTTTCGCACTGAAGAAACAGAGTTGAACTCCAGATCCCGCAGGTTAGCAGTTCTTGGACATTGCTTGTGGTGTTGTCGGGGTACACACCACAAGTCAGAGTGAACTCTCATTTAGATGGACAACATGAACGCACACCACTGACTTAGTGTTGCTGTGACAGACAGTACACGATTCAAAAGGGCATCGTGTTGGGTATGTGGTGCCTTTTTTCCATACAAGGTCAAGGGTCCGGCGCCCGACACCTTGCAAGTTGATGGACTGAACCTGTCAACTGTGGTCGCGCGGAACACCTAGCCTGGTGCACGACATTTGACAACTTGCCCGTCAGTACCCGTGCAACAAATGCGTCCACCATTTATCTTCCCGGAAGGACCTCCTTCTCCGGTTGACAGATAGTAGTTGAACACCAAATGATTTGGGAGTTAGTGGTGTTCGACAGAGCACCTTAAGGAAGTGGCAGACAATCGTTCACTCTCGATGCCGATTGCCAATAGCACTGTTCGTGAGAGAGAGAGAGAGAAAGAGAGAGAGAGAGAAAGAGAGAGAGAGAGAGAGAGAGAGAGAGAGAGAGAGAGAGAGAGAGAGAGAGAGAGAGAGAG